CTTCGGTTGCGCGTTCCGCGTGGTGTGCATACATCTTGATGGAGCGCATCCACTCGCCGGCGGTGTATAATGTGCTCATGTCGCCGCAGGGCATTGGTTCGGGCCCGGTCGTATCGGAGCTCGGCGTGATCGGGACCTGTATCTGGAAGAAGACAACAGAGGGCTCTGAATTTCTGAGCAACGCAGTTGCTGGGTGGTCATACAAAACCAAGCATACCGACGTGGATGAGATGAGTGTGTTGAAGGGCTATGGGTGCTTTGACACTCCACTCCTATACTAATGTGTTCTTGAACAAATGTTAATCCACACATATAGTAAGTTACACAAGTCATCTCGATCCCTGATGTCATGACAAACATACAGTAACGCTTCAAGTATACTAGTGTACTATTCCCAACCGATGCGATCGGCAGTACCTACGCCGGATTGGTACAAACCGCCGTTGGTGGCGTCGGCGGGATACAACCTCGCAGAATCATGCTCTAATCTAATATATATGCATTGTTTCAAAACTAAAGGTCTAACATGATCAAGTAATCGTACAATTCGACGCTTATTTGCCAATCTCAACACCACCAGTGGCACCGAGGAGACGCTACAATACTCAATTAGCGATCTGCTTTGGAAGCAGCTGACGAACAGAGATCCACATACCTTAATGTCACCGTAGATAGCGAACTGACCAGCGGTGATAGTACCAACCTGGAGAGGATATTAGCCTTCAAAGTCCAAATCTGTCGTCCTTTGAGGAGTGAACATACCATGAAGAGACGAGCACCAATACCGGCGTAAGAGCCACGGAGACCAAGCTCCTTACCGATCTTAATGAGACGAGAAACGGTGCCCTCACCAGGCTCACCGGGGGTCTTGTTGATCTTGGAGAGCATAGTGTCGGCGGGCTGGGAGACGATGGCAGCAGCGAAACCAGCAATGAGACCAGAGCCAAGGTTGATACCAGTCTTAGCACCCTCAGAGACAGAGTTCTTGTCAACGAAGCCGTAGACAGCCTCGACAGTCTTCTCGAAAACAACGAACTTGGCCATAGTGTAAGGAACCCTGCCGGAAGTTAGCAATGGCGCATATCATTATTTATGGGCGCGGGCGGCCGGGAAGTCGCGGAAAGACATACTGCTTGAAGAGCATAGGACCGAAACCAGAGTAGAAAGCACCGATACCCTCGTTCTTGAGGATCTTACCGAAACCGCTCATGAGACCGGAAGCGAAGGTAGGCTGGGAGACAAGACGAATACGGGTGGCCTCAAGGGGGCACAGGGCGATATCAGCGAAGAACTCAGCGGTGGCGGAAGAGGCAAGGTAGATAGCGGTGCGGTTGTTGGAGGCAGTCTCGTAACCGAGCTGGTTAATCCACTGCTGCTTGAAGAACTCGTAACCTCCGAACTTGAAAGCACCCTGGAGGAAGTAACCGGCAGCGGTAGGACCGAAACCAGTGAGGAGAGCGCCAGCACCCTCGTTGGCAATGACCTGCTTGAAACCACCAATCATACCACGGTTGTAGGTGACCGGGTCGAGCTGGATTCTGGTCTTGACGCTGCAAGGCACGAGAAAGAGAGAGGACGTCAGCAACGGGCATGGTCGGATGGCAGGACAGGCAAGTCGATCAAGCGCGCGCACAGGCGGAAATACTGAGCGCGTTCTTCAATTGCGACGTGGGCGAGACGAGACGGTGTCCGACTTACACATCGACAGGAGTGAGAGCTCCGTGAGTGACGGAACAGCAGACAGCACCAGCGAAGGCGAATCTGGAGTAAAGGGCAAGGCCAGTAGGCGCGTCGGCCTTAGGAGTAGTGACGGACATTATGTATGAAAGGGTATATGGGATGTTATAGAAAAACAAAAGGAAAAGGAGGAGAGGAGTGTGGGGAGAAGGGAAAGAAGAGCGAAGCGATTGAAGCTTTGCAGAGATTGGAAAGGAAGAAAATGGACTCGGGAGGCGGCCGGCAACGGGGGAGGGAGTGAGAGAGTCGACTAGGACTAGTTTGAAAGGGATGGCCGGAACCTCGCTGCTTTTGGCCCTAGTGGCTAGCGGAACCCGAAAACTTTTCGCTGCCAGTGCACCGCGCCTTGGAACCGCTTTAAATCCGATCTCCCGGTCAACACATGGCAATGATGATGGCAAAAGTTATTGAAGGGAAAAAAAGAAAAACGTCGTCATAGTTAGTATAAGGAATTGAGTAATGCTAATGATAGCATTGGTAGGGTAATAGGGCTGACTGAATCACCCCCAATCTCCCAATTACACGTCTACTGTTGAGTCTTGGGAAATTCTCGACAAGTGGCTGGTGGCTCTTCTACCAAGTGATATTAATATTGTTGATACTGTTGTTACTGTTAGATCTTGAGAAGTCCTCCTCCAAGCCTGAGGCATTCCAGTCCCCGTTCTCCCGTTAGTTACCCGCCATACTTGTTCGATGAAGAGAGACACACACACAATGACATCCTCCATGGTTACCTAGGTAGTGATGGTCTTTTCTCTCATTCTTCCCTATCTATCCTTAAATTGACACGCATATTGTTAAGAGGACTAGCAATATTCAATTGACCTCGGATCCTCTCTGACCGTAAAAGAATCTGAATCCTTGGAACTCCGCCCAGCCCGACAAGGTCCCGGATTGGCGCATGAATCCCCTTCGGTCAACGGGAAGCCGACCGAGATATCCAGGCGGATCTCATCCATCATGCTAAATTTGGGTTTCTACACCCTGTCGCTCACAAGGTGTTCAAACATCTCGATTGTGTCTCTATTCCTGAGAGCTTCTTCACGGATGCGATGCGGAACTGATGTAATGCGAGCCTATCTTACAATGATGCTGACGACGTAGCTCAATCAACCATGGGTACAGTAATCTAAATCTGAAGCCCGATCCGTACTTTCGGGAGACAAGCTGTCACTCACATCATTTCAGAGCTACTCATAGCCTATTCTATGATTTTGATTCAGTTTACAGTTCTCGTACTCCTGCCGAGCGACGCCTACGACTGAACAATGCCCCCTGGAAGAGTCGATACATCTTATACAAGGTTTGACGCCTGCGGCCTCCGCTCCGGTCTGTCGCATTACCTGCTACCCTGCATCACCTTCAAGGTTGACACATACCTAAGGCTCCGTTAGCTTCTAAGTCAGAGCATCCGACGGAAGAACGCGAAATATGGCAATGAAAAACCAGTGAGAATGCTGCCATATTGCGAAAGAAGAACTCGTGTATCCTTTTGGCGATCTCTACAACGCCATGAAGGATGTCTTACAGTCAATTGTACTCTCAGGTAGAGGCAATGTCCGGCACTGACAGAGGCGCGAATTTGTATATGCACCCGGAGAGCAATGCGACTGATTCGAGGAATCGAGTTACACCAGCTAGTGGTCATGTTGCTCAGGTTCTAGGAGACATTGCCTCATTTGCTAATCCGCGGCCGACAACCCCAGGCTTCATCCAGCATAGCAATTCTTGAAACTTTTCCGGCCTCACATGTGCCATAGGCAATCCAAGTTCCTCCGAGAAAGAACTATATGTTGTTTGAAAGCTAACTACGGAGAAATATGTGGATATTATTCGAGAGGTATACCATTCATCACCATTGATGGGAGTGGCTCCCGGTCGAGACATTGAGTACCTATTTGTGATGGTATGGGCGGGTTCAAAAGCGTAGGAGAAACGGTTCTCAGCATCAGCGCTGCATTTCCGCCGAATTTGACAAAAGTGGCAGTATTGAGCTGAATGGCTTCCACTAACCACAGTTTCAAAAACATTAGAATTACATAGTCTGATATGACTTCTCGACTTGCCATGATGATTTCGCCTCTGGTGTCCCAAGGCTTGACTATAAGTATTCGATGACGATATATGCTGCAGTAATTCTGCGGGTTTTTCGGGGTTTCGTGATTTAAGAATTGCTGTAGCGACTAGAGACTGGACAGTCGACAAATCTGGCTTGCTTCAGCTTGTATGGGCTTGTCGTGATACTCCAAGTCGACGGAATTCAGCCGGATTTAACGTACAAGGCCGCCGACAATACGAAGCCCGCCAAGACAACGAGAGAATCTCATTGTCAACTAGTATCATTGCAGACTTCCTGGAGACTACTCATATCATGAAACGCCTGATCAACACAGAACCCGAAATCCATACAGCTGAGGAAGAGGAGAAGCGATCTCGGGGGCCTGGAAATACAAGTATGGACCATATAGTTAACTATAAGCCATCAAAAAAACAGATTGGTCTCCTATTCAGACCTCCAGAATCAAGGTAGGTTCTGCAAGCTAGTGGGGCCACATAAATCGACAGGCTGTTGTCGACTGTTGCTGATAAAGTGCTCGGGCCAGAGCAAAATCCTTCGGTCGATTTCCAACCCCCTCCCCCCACACCACTTCAATTCCTCCCGTTCTCAAACTACTCATCCTGGGTGTCTTGTGAGGGATTTGACCTCAGACATGCATAAGATAACGATCTAGTAATACACAGGGAGAGGGGGGGAAAGAAAACGGAGTAAGCCCTCGCACATATGGAAAATGGCAGCCTGCATCACACGTGGGTTGCGAGCTATACAAGACTGATCGACATTGAATACTCCTGAGCAACCGCAAAACAGATGAAGCTATAGCAGCAGCACTAAACTAGTATGCAGCCATTGACTCCACGCCATTCGCCCGCTGAAATCTATCAGTCGCGGCCGTCAAGGTTTTGATCAAATGAATGCCAGAGATTGTGATGCACGACCCCTGTGACCACGTTCTATAATTGCCATCTTAATTTTCTTACTGGCACCGGTTGCGTTTCTTACCCCTGCTGCCATGCGCCTCGAATCCGTCCATCAGCTGCACAGCCATCGTCTTCTACTACGGTATCTGCATCGTACATCGCACTTTCCGCGCCGTATCGTCGTGGTTACTTCGTTGACCGCCGGTTTTTAGATCAAACATCGCCTCCCTTACGTATTGCTCCTCGCGCTCACTTTGGTTCAAGTTACACCCAAGACCACACCGATGACAGCTTCTGTCGATGCTGCCTTGACCCTCACAGAAGCTGTAGGCTGGGGATCACCTGCGATGTCTACCCCTCAACTTCAAGAACTCTCTGTAGCATCGCAGGAGCGACAAACACCGCTACAGCTCGTCAGTCCACTATGGAAATTCTCCGCGGCATTTTCGTCGCAAGTGCTTCTTGTGGGGTGTGTCCTTGTCCATCGCAAATAACGCATAGAACAAGGTGCTGATAAGTCTGTTTGTGAAGGTTTCTAGTTCTGCCTCTAGCATTCGGGGATGACGAAGCCGAGTTCCCTGCGAATAAGACACCCACGACAATCGCAGCTTTCATCCTCATCGCCATTGCATACTCTTTGTCGCTCGCAGTCGTCTGCTTTCAGTCTCAGGACCGCAATTTCCTGCTTTATTCTCTGTTTCTGTACGTGCGCCTTGACGATCTTCCATTCCATCCAGCTAATGCTTTTTCAGACCTTGCCTGGGTTCAAACCTCCTCGCTCTCTTGAACGTCCTGCTCAACGTCATTTGTCGAAATCTGCTCCCTATGGGCAGCCTGGAAATCGTCAGCCTTGGCCTTTCCAGCACCTTCGCTTTTCTTTCTGGCCTTGGAGCTTTATGTGCCTATGCGTGGGACATCCCCGGTTTATCTCGAGCGGGTCATCGCCATAGCCCGCACTTGACTGATGAAGAGATGCAGCGCCAGCAATTACAGCGACTTTTAGAACCAGAGTCCTCTCAGAAGAAGCGAAGCTCCAAGATGTACCACAAGACATTCCAAGTCAAGGCTCCCGAGCTGGTTAATCCTGGCAAGGGCTGGGATACCTTCATACCTCCTCCTCGGGAGGAGAATTATTTTCGATGAGATGCCCCCGGATTCCCTGAGGATATTGGATATGTGTTTTAAGTGGTCACGGTTGCGCAAAACAGTTGTATAAAACAGCAACACTTCTGGTCTCGTCGATGCACTTGAAAGCTCACTCGTGTCGTAGTCAATTATATCATCATTTGAAGTACCTTTCCCAGGTTTCCAATCCAGTCTAGTCGTCGCTTGTTAACACCATCTGAAACATAGCGAATCTAGAGTATATAGCTGTGGCACCGGGCCACCGGCTCATAGTGTCTTTGAATCTACTTCTCTACCATTTCACTCTTTTGGGTCTTCTTTCAGCGTAGCCTGGGCACAGCGACCATGCTGATGTAGGAAATGGTTTGTGATAGGTGCCTAATTTTGTAGAGTCTGAAAATAGATCGGCTATGAGTGCCGCTCAAGGTAGACAGAAAGTGCATTGAATTCCATACTTCAGCAATCGGCCTTTCATGCCTCTGGCAGACATACCCACCGTACATCAGATTTCAGCATCAAGTTTGACAGAATGGAGCATGTGCAAGTCCAGCATCTATAGTCATAATAGAGCCGCTGTGCAACAGCTGTCATCTGACACGTTGACGGTCGCATTTCCCAAGTCATGCCGAAGCTGACACTGAATAATCTCGTCTTGACACCCCATTATACCAGATCAATGTGCATTAACCACGACTTAACGAACGACTCTATCCATGAAGATCACTTCATAACCCGATCCACAAAAATGGAACCTCGGCAATTACCCAATTGGGACAGACCGCGCGGAACAGCAGGGCGGGACTTGGAAAGTGAAGACTCCAACTTTCCCCTCCAAAAGTTGTCTTGACTCCTGAACTCTGACCCTTTTTCCGACTTGGGCTTCAAATTAAAAGAGCGCCCTTCATATCTCAGCGCTTTGCAATCATTCAAGACTACTTCCTGTGCTTGTTAGGGACTGTGTATGCCCACTATGGCCAAATCCGTGACCTTGTTCGAACCCCCGCCACTGGACCCTTCGAAAGCGCCGATAGAGAACGTCTTAGAGTTGACCCCTGTGGTTGACGTGGGCAGAGTATGACACTTGCTCCTTTCTCTCTTGCTTTCTTCATTTGAGGGGCTAATTCTGATTCCGCCTAATCCAACCAGGATGTATTCACAAACACCCGGCCTCTTTGGCATCCTCCGGGCGCACGAGGCATTTACGGCGGTGCCGCCATCGCCCAATCTCTTGCCGCCGCGATGCGAACTGTCCCCGATGATTTTGCCGTCCACAGCATGCATTGCTATTTCGTTTTGGCCGGCGACTCTGAAATCCCCATCGTCTACCACGTCGAGCGAGTCCGCGACGGTCGAAGTTTCACCACCCGCACGGTGCAAGCTAGGCAGCGCGGTCGACCTATTTTCACCACCACACTGAGTTTCAGCAAAGCCAACAGTGGCGGTAGGAAAAAGCTTGAGCATGCCTCATCTATGCCATCCGTCGCGCTACCAGAGGAGTCGGAACCTGGTGCCAAACGGGCATTCCAACAATCAGGCGGCGGACCATTCGAATCACACAGAGCGGGGATTGTAAATCGTCAGTATTCGAACGCGGAGTGATGGGTCTTCCTTGACGTCGTGGACTAACAATTTGTAGGTCACTTGGCCCCGGAAGACAAAAAGGTCAGACGGTTTTTCCGGTCACGAGGGAAGATATCCGATGCAGGAGGACACCGTGCTCACCTATCCGCCCTTGCATACATTACCGACAGCTATTTCATTGGCACTGTGTCAAGAGTTCACGATATCCCACGCTTTTCCTCGCCGGCCGAGCTCGAGAAGCTTCTCAAAGCTCTCAAGAACCCGTCAGATCTAGACGATGAAGACATTGCACGTGCGCTGAAGGAGCTAAAAGAGGAAGAGACCGTGGAGCTTCGCCGTCGCTTAGAGGGCGCTTTGAGCAAGGCTACGAGTCAGGACCCCAAAGAACACAAGGAAGTGGGCATGATGGTAAGCCTTGACCACTCGATCTACTTTCACAATCCCTGGGCATTCCGAGCAGACGAATGGATGTTCTCCGAGATGGAAAGTCCGTGGGCTGGCGAGGGAAGAGGCTTGGTTCTTCAGAAGTTCTGGTCCAAAGATGGAATTCTTATCGCCACATGCACGCAAGAGGTATGGCTGTCCTACGTATTCGAAGTCCTCACTTGGTTTGAGTCAGTGCTAATGCTGGAGAGAATCAGGGTGTCGTACGGCTCAAGCAGGATGAACCGCCACGATCCAAGATCTGAGAAATGTGACACCTACATAATATACCCGTCCTGCATCTTGTAGAACTGTCAATTGAACATACAATATTCTCTATATAATTATTGCATACTCGATAGATTTTCCAATCCATTGGTACATCCATCGGCTTCTCTATACTGGCTTCGTTTCATCTCAATCATATCCCCACGTCGCTAACGTCTGTAAAACTTTTTGAATCCTAATTCGATGATTATGATTTTACGTTAATGCAACCTGTTGCTCAAAAACATTATCCAAGGTCAATCTTGTCCATGAAAAACGTCATCCTCATTATGGTTCAGTGTTATAACCGTCATCAATCATACAAATCACCCAATCTCTACCATGCCAATGAGTAGAACCGCCAAAAACAGAACAAATAACCACCAGCCAACCAACCAGATAGACAGACAGATAGACAGACAGCCAGCCCAAGAACGGATATCAAGACAAAAAAAACAAAACAGGCTCAAAAGTACAGATGCAATGCTAAGGACAGTGACTTTTGCAAATAATAATCAGACAGCCGCCCTCTCCATCGATTTGCTGGCCCAAATGCAACGAAGGGATACGAAGCGTGAAGCGTGAAGCGTGAGAGGCAAAATACCACCAATGCTGTTTCCGCGCCTGCCTTCATTCCGTTCCTTCTTTTTCTTCTTTCCTCTCATTAGACCTCCTGCTTTTCCATCATCCGAGTTTTCTTTTCGCAGAACTCGAGTGCTTTTGGTCCCCAAATTTCCCGACCCTTGTATTCTCCCACATACTCGGGCCAACTCTTGATCTCCTTCGCGAGATTTTGCAGCTCTTGCATTGGCAGTTCCTCCAATGTTGTCAAGAAAGTCTTGACACCAAACACAATCGTTCCCGTACGAGGTAATCGACGGAATGTCTGACGCTCACGTCGAATCACAATGTCCTGCGGGGATGGATCTGGATTGTCTTCGGACAACGAAGTCGGGCGATAGAGAATATCGAACAGTTCTTCGTCGGGTCTTTTTACTTCGACGAAGTAATTAGATCTTTCCATCGGGGACTCTGGAGTCAGACGAGCAAGAAATCTAGAATTGAAGAAATCAGTTACCGCAATTCTTTCCTCACTCATCGCGGCTGAGCTATGAAGGAGGCCACTCACTTGCTGACAGAGTTAGCGACTTGCTGGTGCCACAAAGGCACAGGATTGTGAAGTTTAGAAATCGTCCACCCGATACGTTCCTGCACCGTCCATCCCACCGGGAATAGACTTGCGCTGGCCGCTCTGTCCGAAATCATCAGTCACTGTCCGAGTAAACGATAATGAGTCGCGATAGTGTATACTAACAGGTAGTATTCGTCGTCTTCGTTCTTCATCAGGATGCTCAGATCCTCCATCGTCAACCTCACGGCAACCTCGAGCGGATCGATTTTCTTATTCTCTCCACCAACGACAAACGTCTCACCCGTCATCTTGTTATGGATGGTCCACTCGTTACCGGACTTCTTTCGTTCGAACACGGTCGAGAACCGTTGACAAAGGAAGTCGACCACCTCCTCCAATGCTTCCATGCACGCGTCGTATGACTCTGGAAGGCATTGCAGCACTTTACTCTTTTCCTTCTCCAATAATTGACCCCGAACAACATGCTCATCCATGTAGTTGTTGTCGACAGTGAGCCAGTTTGCCACGTCTAACCTCCGGACGTCCATCATCACTCGGTACCTCTCTCGACCTTTGATGGGTTGAGCCGGGTATGGCTTGAGGTCACTGCAGTTCACCTCATTGTTTGGTGTGGAGACCCATCTTGACAAGAGGGTCTTTCGGATCTTCGAAATGATAAGGAAAAGAAACGCAAACGCGACTCCGACGCATATAGAGGTATTCATTGCCCGCTGAGAGTACTTTGTACGGAAAAGTGTAAGATAAGCTCTGACATAAAAAGGGAGATGGTTGAGGATAGAGGCCGGCTTGCGAAGAATCTTTGACCACTCTTATATATCGAAGCCTTCGCAATGCAAACCAGACCGGGGCCGCACTAACGATGGCGAAACCCCTTCCCCCGGTGAGGGTAATGGCCCCAATTATATTCGTGACGGCAGGTTATAGTGTCCGGGATCATCATTAGGTCAGACGATATCAACAAGGGGATTTCTACATTCCGGATTCAGTACATTGGGTCGGTTTCTGATACGTTCTGTCTTTCCCCGCAAAAGCCGCAATTCGCCGCCCCGAAAAAAGAAAAAGACCTGACAGCATTCACATGATCTAACTAAATTATCTAGCATTTTGTCAAAATCTAAGTCGACTGGGACCTTCTGGTGAACGCGGGGAGGAGGACCCATCGAGAGGCGAACTCTAAGTGGCTTAGTAGACCCAACGATGCGCAGGTCCGTCTCCGCTCTAGATCCGCAGCCGGAGCATGTACTAAGCCTCCAGTATACTTGCGACGGTAGCATTACCTATCTACTCGCTCGAGCTGAGCGAGTGTGGCACGAACTTAATGCGCTTACTCACATACCATGGGGATGGTGAAAAGAATAGTCATGGCTGTGACGGTACCTCTGCGCCTTCCCAGGAAAATCGTCAGGCGGAGCCCACGCGTATTTTTGTCTGTGCGCCTCGATTGGAAAGACCTCGTGAGCTGAACCCGATCCGAGTTCAGAACACATTGATTCCCCTGTCTAACAGGTTCCTGCGGTTCCGCCCCAGCGGTATTCGTCTTTTATTCCCCGGAGCGGACGCAGGAGAGAAGAAATCGGGTTCGCGACGACAGAAGGAGCATGAGAAAGAAATGGCGCACTTTAGCATGAAAGCCGGGCAGGCATGTCTCCAGACCGGATTGATGAGAAATTATCCTACATTTTCCATCCCCTGTGCGATAGAGTGAGCATGGGCCGAGAAAAAGCGCGTGGGATCCTGCGTGAGCCGGCATCAGCTCGGCATCGGCTGGTCATCAGCTCCAACGTAAGAGGACGACGGTCATCAATTAGGCGGCTATGAAATTCTACGGGGTCTGCCTGTCATGCTGGAGACCGATTGAAGGCACCTAGGAGGTCTCCATCAGCCTTCATTGACGTGCCGGCCCTGCTGGCCATTTCGGACGCTGCGACTGGTCAGACGGGTTCGGAGCGGCAGTGACACTATCTCGAGGCTAAGTCGTTCAGAGAAAGTATGTAATCGACTCTGACGTACTATGAGGTGTCCTTGCAGTCCCTCTAGCCGTCACAGCCAGTCCTTTACTGCGTTCCCCACGGGATGCAGACCCTACACCATGAACCGACTAGCGAGATTGGATGCGATGTGCATATACATACATTGCATACATTGCAGAAGAGTAACATGCTAGTCATTGAGCGATAAAAGTGGCCGCAGCAACACCACCAGGAGCAGCAGCAGCAGCAGCAACCACAACATGTTGCCCACCTGAACAATGAAAGAAAGAAGGCTACCAGATTTCAGCGGGCGATCCACCTCTCCAGCATGAGCCCAGATTTCGGGACCGTCTAAGACAAGCTCTCCACTCTCTTCCCATCTGGGGTCTTGCGCTGCAACCGCTTCAGGTCGCGCAAAGCGCGCTTGCCGCAGGTCAGCAAGGAATTAATTATTCGAGCGAACCGGTACGTTTGCTCCTTTCAGGGTGCTGCCGATGGTGGTGTCTCAAGGAGGAATGCGCTTTTTTCCCTCTTCATTGTTTTGCCTATTCCCTGATTCCGCTCGTCACCTAATTTCCTCGCTGCCTTTCCTTTCTTGCCCATTTTTGGTCTTTTTCGTTGCTTTTTTTTTTTAAAAAAAAAAATTTTTTTCTTGTGCTCTGAATACATTTTACCTCGATTTTCCCTTTCTTGTTTTCTTTTTTAGTTGCCTCTCAAACCCTTTCGGCAAACCTTAGATCCTCTCATCATCGACTCCCGGCTAGTGAGCAGTTTCGTGTCTCTCACTTCCCAGGCTTACAGCACTTGCCTCTGGTTTTCACCCGCCACCGACGATGTCAAATCCTCCGAGATAAACCAACGGCTGGTAGGACGCCTATGGTATCGCACCTGTTGCCTTTCGTGTCAGACTGTCCATGGCAGACTTTGGACCAGGGAGTTTTTAGTGCTTCTAGTGGAGTTCTACCTCTCCCAATTGGTTCATCACCATGGATCGGCCCTTTTCCAGCATCACCGCGATCGCCTCTTGAAGGCCTGGCCAGGCATCCCAACGTCTAGGTGGATAGGACATTATCTTCCGAGCTGATAAGCTGGCACGCGGTTCGAGAAAAAGAAATTACACTTCATCTATGATAATCAAAGGGTGGGCCAGGATTGCGAGCCCAGCGGGCCAAACGGCACTACTCCATAGTGTTGACCTCGCCCTCTTCAATCCAGTCTTGCGTCAGACCAAGTAGTCTCCTCTTCTTACTCCACACTTATAGAACGATTCAGAGATAGAGCATTCGAGGCCCCAAAGGAAGCTGCGATCCAATGTCTGTGGGACTCGACTGGGCCACAAATGGTCCTAGGAGGATGGGATCCTAGTGCACGGACGGCTGGCTAAGTCAGTACAAGGCAATGATTCTCCACGATTTCCCGCATGGTGGTGATAATAGATAGTGCCGAAATGGGTAACTACTACTCCCTCGCGCGGGACAATGGATGGGCGCGCAAAGAAGTTCGTTCGTACTTGTGTCAGGACTGGTTGTTGACCCAGCGTCTAAAACCAGCAGAGGTACAATGGCCAATCCTAGCCACGGGCTGGACTTAATGTCGCCGCACATCATAGTAGGGAGAGCAAGGATGCACATCCATGGCTGAATCTCGCCCCTGTGCTCTTATCCTAAAATTGATAGCTGCAGACACCCTCCGATGCGAGGTAGATTAACGCTACAGAAGCGGAGAAGGTCAGAGGTTTGGAGGCTTGGAGCCCCATGGAGGTCGTAACCGGCGATGGACGAGCTTGGCTGTGGCTCTCACTTCCTTTTCTTCAATGTACGATTTCTGTCTTCCTGGTTCTGAAGTCTGACAGCATGTGACATGACCACGGTATGGAGGGCTTTGCAGGTGATAGGTCATCATGTGATCCTGCGCACTCCAGACTCGTTTCTCACGATGTGCTCTCGGCCTTTCCTTCTAACCACCAAACGTCTCCCTAGCTGGGATTACCACATCTACCTACTATCGCACGCTTGGTACGGCCGAGATAATCCCATCCTCATTGGTTCGAATGCTCAATTCAGCCGGATACAACCCGGGCCCACCGACAACGGGGCCAGTTCGCGAATAGTGGCGCTGTGAAGGCAGCTTGGGTCTTTGAGATTGGAGCTCTTTCGTAGCTTCCTGCCATCATGCACGATGCTCGATCTGGGGTTGAGTGGATCTGACACTTTGCTAACCCTCGAGGAGCTGCATATTATCGACCTGTCATTGAATTAGCAGAGCTTGTTATAACCCCATCGAATGCACTCAGCCCACGGTGTGATGACCAATTTAGCAACGGCAGCATTACCTCTTCTGCATCGAGACCTATAACACGAGTCGGAGGCATCGTGCCGGGATCAGCGAGGTGTCCAACATGGCGCAGACGGTGCTTGTCGCGAGCGTGTTGTTTCAATAACCAGGATTTCGTCATTGAACAGGAACGCCTCGATGATGCCAGTGTCATTAACCGTTGATTTCCAGCATGACCGATTGGTCTCGCGGATAAGGATACTGTCTCCGCAAGCTTGAGATTCTGTTCTGGTCGAGCCACAATCATGAGCAAGACTGGGATATCGGAAATCATCCGGGAAAGGGAGGCTGGCTTAGACCTGCCTGTCAGCTTGTCGACCTACGCAAGCCGCTCTTGAAAATATGGCCCTAGCTCGTGATATTGCGGGTTGTGGCCCAGTATCCGTGTTGATTTGGTCAAAGTGGATTTGGATCATACATGTGCTTGGGCTGAGACACATATGACGGCAGTCGGCAATGATTGACAGTTATTCCGAGATTTTAACTGACAGTCATGCATGAAAAGCCTTTCCTTGACCGTTAAGGACAGGGAGCCATAACGAGGCATGGTCTCGTGGACACCCGGAGGAGCCAAATCCTGACGAGTATGGCTACATCTGAAGTGATGATGTACGCCTCCTCTTGCTTGCAGTCGAGCAGACAAGGTAATTGCGTTCGTTTGGCTTCAACTCAAGGGACCCTATGTCGTCCGAGCTGGAAGCCCCGGGCAAGAGCGAGACATCATGCGGTTGTATTTACCGCAAATGGAAGGTCCTACTGTAGGCGTGGGGTGATAGTTCAGGCTTGAATCCGTACGGTTGTTGGAGCCCTGCAGACTCACTCGCTAACCCTGTTCCCTCAAGCTTGTCCTTCTCTGTCCTTGCCCATGACGGAGGATTTGCATTGGGTTTGTTTCTCCAGCGTCCTCTAAGACTATCGCCACTGCGTCGAGAATTCATGCGTGGAATGCAACTCTCAGTCATCCTTCAGCAAAGTGTACGAACATTCTTGCTAGCGAGGTGAGGGCAGATACCAGGAGAGCCGGCTCGGCTACGAGTCTGTGATCAGCATCTCCCTCGGATGTTGGGCTCTAATGGAACGACGATAGACTGATACAAGATCAACCTCTTATCATTCAGCGGATCCCCGTCTGTCGAACACTCATGATCGACATGGTCGAGCCACAGTCTACCGTGGCATACATACCCTGTGGTGCAAGCAGACAATTTTTCCGAGGGCAGCTTCACGACCCAAGCCCGATTCCTGATTGTGTATGTTGATACAACTTCTACATCTAAGGAATACCGGTATAGAGACCACGTCAGATCAGGCGTCAAGGCTCCCCGGTTCCCAATAGATTGACCTCGGAGAACCCCCATCCGAGGCGAATCTGATAGGTTCTCAAGCAAACATGCATCTCCAATAAGATCTGATGCGCACCGCCATCTCGCATCCGAAAAAGCCCGCAGAAAGAACCACTCAAGATCGATTCCGTGTTCATACTCTACCAACCTCAACGAATGCTTCTCTTGTGCCTCGGATCATTCGGAACGGTAGAATCAGGGTAAAACAGAAAGGATATGTAAATGCAGTCCGAACCGGTTTCGTTCGCTATTCTCGTATATTGTATAAAAGAAAATAGCCCTCGTGGCAAATGGAGAGAATCAAGGCCAGAGTTAGTACATAACGTCAGTATCTCGGTTATCGAGACAACAATGCGATAGATAAATACAAACTAATATATGGCAAACAAATTTGAGAACCCACAAAGAGATAGAAAATAAAGATAACCAACGCCACGCATTAGTTCCTTTTTAAGCCATGCAGCAGCTTGTTTTCCCTTTTCTCTCTCTCTCTCCCCCCCTTCTTCCCTCCACCCCTCCTTTTACCCCCCCACTTTTTCGACGCCCAGGCCGACCACCCTTATCCAGATGTGGCGCGTGATCGAATCTTTTGTTTTTTTGTGCTTTTCATTGTGTGGTGGAATTCTCTTCTATGTCATGCATGGATTGTCGTCATGGTTGATGACGGTGGGGAGAGAGAAGGGCGGCGAAAGAGGGGGGAAGGGGTGGGGGAGGGCCGTTGGCCGATCATAGTTGAGTTGGTTTCTGGAGCATGTACACCTACTGTAGGTATACCTTGACTTTTCCATGGGGTATATATTTATCAACAACTACTATAATACGTAACCATCACTTGACAAGTAGGCAAGTAGGCTACCAACCTACCTACCGTACGGCCTTATTGAATCACGTTCCACCCAAGCCCTGCGCAAACGTTGTTGCTTCTTGGTGTGTGTCGTCTCTCTTGTTACGGAGAAAAGGGTGGTATATCTAGACGGAGATAGGTCCGGGGCGTAGGAGAGGAGGGGGCTTTTGGGGGAGGGGGAAATGCTCTTTCTCTAGGTTTCTAATCACTTTTATCCTTTTCTTTCTTCTTTTCTTTCCCTCTTTGAGGGGGGGGGGGTTTCTTTTGTCTTTCTTTTTTTTTTTGGTGAGTTTCTACCTTGACTTTGATACACAAGTATAGAAGGAAGAGAAGATGTATGGAGTGGGACGTTTGGCGATCTTTTTTTTTTCTTTCTTTCTTTTTGCCTGCTTTTCACACACCTATTACCTCGATAACTTTCTTTTCTTTCTTTTGTTCTTTCTCTTTCTCCCCTTTGCACATACATCCACTACCCAAGTACAGTTTTTTTGGGCCTGGTAAGTAAACTGATGGTACTCTACGGGGTAAAGAAGTGGGTCTGGCAATAGCCTCCGTCTTTCCATTTCAATATTTGAGGGCGTTGGTGGTTGGCTGCTTGGTCAGCTTGTCCTTGACTATTCGATTGACTATGTGACGATGGTAACCCGATCGAGAGGTAGGGAGCTGTTGAAAATCGTGTGCTGTATGTATAACCTAGGCTGGGGTTGTCTTAGGCTAGGAGAGATCGAGGATGTTGAGAATATACCAGGACATGCTTGCACTAACATGGCTTCCAAGATCAGGAAATCCTCTGCATCCTGCTAGTGCCAACTTAACAAAGGCTCAGCGGGCCACTGGGGCCCGGAAACCAAGGTGAGACCCTATTTCGGCAACAAGGACTCAAACTAGTCATAATCCAGTATTTTGGCTATGGTGACCAAATCACAAATCACATTGCATCAGAGCATTTGTAGATCAAAAGGTATCAAGAGATATAAAGCAGCATAGCACAATCATTCCAAAAGTATATCCCAGAGTTGGTGGGTGGTTCCCTGGTGCGAATCTGTCGATGATTGTCAGGGAAGAGAAGTGTCAGTGGGCCAAATGGAAAACAAGAAGAAAAAAGAATATTAAACGCCATCCCAGTGCCAGTGCAGCGTGATTGCGTGTGTCATGAGATTTATATATCGCATATGTTTGGGAAAACCTTGGGTCCGAGTTCTTTCTTTCTTCTACCGGGTATCATCATATCTGTAGCCTCTCCCTTTCCCCCTTTCTTCTCGAGGTGTATTTGGAACTAGCGGAACTTGGCCCTGCAGCGTCCCATTACTTCACCCTGGCACACTAGCTCCGCGCTGAACTCGCTACCATCGAGGGTCAAGTAAATGTCGAAGTAAACGCGGTAAAAGGTTCCCTGGGGTGTGTCCATGCGCTCGAAGTCTGTTTCCAGGTTCTTGCGGGACAGGTCCGATGTGAGGGTGACAACTTCCTTGATGCCTGCGGTGGATTTTTGTCAGTGCTGAATGGACAGTTTTCTATAGAAAGAGCAGCTTACGTGGGTCCTTCGTGTACTCCGGACACACATCCTCGTCACAGGCATACAAAATATCCTCGTACATGAGGGTGGCGCCGGGGGCAACCTGCCGAAAAAAGCTGACCTTGACCGGCTCGCCGATCTTCACTCGCTCGCCCTTCTGCATGAAGATCTGCCGCGTGTATTTGCAGCGATCGCGGCCGTCCAGACTGGGAACTCGGTACTGTTCGGGGTGATATCCTTCTTTGAATGGCTGTAGCGTTGCCATCAGATAGTGCCGCCGAGCGACACGGTGGGTGACCACCCGCTCAGTGATTCCGGCCGTCACGGCACCCTTCACAATCGCTGCAACCGAATCCATAGGTCGAACAACCTTGGTCTGATATTGTGGCGGTACGTGCAACTTGATTTGCTGGAAGAGGTACTCCGAAGCACCGAATCCACCCACCACGAGGACGTTCTGGGTCAAGGTCAGTCATGGGACACTGCACATTAAACATCCGTCGGCATACCTGGAGCGATCGGTTCTGCGCTTGAATCGCGATAATTTGATTGCGCACCAACTCGAGGATGCGGTTAACCACCGGCTCAAAACACTGCAGGATCTCTTCATTCGTGAACGTCATGTATCCTTCCTCAATGCCCGCATCGGGGAAGTCGGCTTCAATTCCCACGTCTACCGCCCATTTTTGGCCGTTGTTGCGGAAGTCCGCTTTGATACGATTCTCGAAGTCCATGATACACTTGGCATAGACCTTGCCGGCGGTGCGTGAGCCATCGGGCAGCTTCATCTTGCGGATCTTGGCCCTAAGGATGTTGCTGAAATTCCGATTCAGAGCAGTGGAACCGCATGAATCACCCGAGCCACCCGTGCATTCTGCGACACTGAAGGGTGACTCTTCTTCGACTTCATACGCGATCAGATCGACCGTACCACCACCGCAGTCTACGATCAGAATGGCGTCGCCCACTTTTAGGTTCAGCAAGCCCGTTTTAGCACAGAAGAGCGCAGCTGCTTCCGGCTCCGAGATCAGGGTGAGGCGGTTGTCGTTCTCGTCGCGTAGAAACCCAGCTTGAAGAGCTGCCGCCCGGGTCGCTGCCTTCCCTGCATCGTTCCAGATGGCCGGAACGGTAAGGTAGTATCGGATGTTCCGTTCTTCTCGCGTAAACACTTCGCCGAGGGTCTTCTGAAGCTGGGCCCGCATTGCCTGTCGCAACTTGAAAAGGTAGTCGGCGGCGACATCGATTTCGGACTTGCCCGGCGGCAAGGGCGGCAGGTTGATGGGGTCGATGTAGGTGTTGCCGGAGAGCATGAGCTGGAGCTTGAACCATTCGACCTTCTGGACCCCTTGCTTGGGGTAACCAGTCGGGGCCAGCGCATCTGCAATATCCGGACCCCATCCTACCACCTTCTGGTATTGGTCGTAGTACAGCACCGTTGGGATCTGGGGGGTACCGGGAATCGAGTGAGCAATCTAGGGGAGCCTGCATATGAGGTGCGGGGAGATTGTTTGGACCCACCTTCTGTTTGGTGTGAGTGCCTGCCCCAGGCCACTCTGTGATAATGTCTTCCCGAGCTTCGTTGTTGGTCGCAAAGGCGAAAGCGACTCCAGAGAAGGTTGTCCCAAAGTCGATACCGACGATCAGCTGGGCCTTGCTGCGGCCAGCGCCCTCGACTTCGACGGCGGGGTTGCGCAAATATTGGGGTTGATGAAGACCAGGGGTCATACCCGGGGCTATGGGCTGCTGTAGTCCATACCCGGGGGGCGCTCCCATCGGAGATTGCGAATATTGCAGGCTGGTATTGATGGAGGGTGGGTGGTGAGGGCCAGGCGGCAGCGGGCTGGTGGGCCGGCCCACCGTGTTGTAGGTATAACTCGGGGGGCGGCCCAAAGGATTTTGATTGTTCATGGGTAAGCTGGTGGTAGAGGAACTGTGACCGGATGGTGGGGAGCTGGGCGAGGTGGAAGAGGGAGGAGCGACGAGAGTGCTGGTCGACGGCGCAGTGCTGATTCCCTGGCTGGATAGTGTCGACACGGGAAGAGGTTGCGGAGTTGAGTTGTTCTTGTTGCGCTTCGTCCCAAAGGTGAACGATTTGAAGTTTAAGCGTGAGCTCATCAGGTCCTTGATTGTGCACAACCGTTAAAAGCAACGGATGGGGACGAACAAAGAGAGGGAGGAAGAGGAAGGAGGGGATACGAGGCGGGGAGGGGAAGAAAAGAGGCGGACGCGAGGGAGGAACAGCAGCGGCAGCACAAGGAAAGAGGAGAAGAGAGGAGAGAAGAAAAAGTGGATAGTTGGAGAATGGGGCGGTGCTGTAGTAGAAAATGACAACAGAAAATAGTACGGAGATGGAGAAGAAAGTGGTAGAAGAGAGAGGGGGAGAGAGAGAGAGAGATGGGGAAAGAAAGGAAAGGATGTAAGACGAGCGGGACCAAAAATGGCGAGGGAGAAGGAAGAGGCAGTGCCCGCGATAGAGTGAGGGATTGAGTGAGGATGTGATGGATAATCAAAGGAAGGGGGAGAGAGAGAGAGAGAATGAGAGAGAGAGAGAGAGAGAGAGAGAGAGAGAGAGGGAGAGTGGGGAGGATCAGATTGCGGGGACAACAAACAACGACAACAACAACTTGAACCACAATTTCAACATCCACTAAATAACAGGGCTGAGTCGGCGGAATGGGTTCTAATTATGTTGATGGTTGATAATTTGGGTCAAGAGGAAGAGAACAGAAAAAGAAGTGTCAGACAGACAGCACAGCAGCTGGAGCTGGAGCCGAAGCCGGTTTGTCATCGATAGACTGACTGACTGTCTGTCAGATTGCTAGCAGGTGAAATGCGCCCTGGAATTCTCTCTGGAATGATCGGCTTCCGACTACCGGCCTGGTGAATTAAACAGGGTACAGTACAGAGTACAGAGCACTTCACCCTATTGAACAGAAAAGAAAGAAAGAAAGAACCATAGAACCATAATGCTTTCAGGTTCATGCTTTTGATATGATTGAATTCCCAGACAAGGTATCGAAAGTCTGGTCCATTCAACACTAGGTTCCATACCATTCATTACAGCAGTACAGTATCTTACCACGCCTGAGGCCGCAACCTCAATTGGTTTGATTGACCCCTAGTGACTTGATTGTTTACAATTGGCGCAGAGAAAGAGGTATAAGCCAGTGCAGTACAGTACAGTACAGTACAGTATCGGTCTACCATGATTTTCTATTCTCTAACAGAATGTTTCTGCCTCGCTCATTTCTTCTAGTGCCTGAGCCTGCGATGGAACCATCATCCGTTGTTTTGGCCCCAATGCCGCTAAGCCTCGCCCGGAATGGGCAAATTTGGATGGGATAAATTGAATTGGATCGCCGCTTTCTTTCTTTGTCTTGGTGTCGGGCTCAAGGCTGCGGCTGAACAGCGTCTGGTCTCCACCCGATCCCATGTTTCCCGTACAGTATGATTATTATAACATACATGTACTTACCCTCCGACTCCGATTTTGATCCACCCTATATATTATCTAGTCTATATACTGAATGACACTAATGATTATTTTCCAAGAAGGAGAAAGAATTCAGTGGCTTTCCTTGCGGGCCACCCAATGCGATGGCCGGTACAACGGCAAAAGCATACTGTTGGGGTCCTGGATATACCCACACAACGGCCGTTCGTGTGCCGGCTGGCGCTGCTCGATCACGAAGCCCATCCGCTCCACGAGGCAGAACACTTCGGCCTCCGTCAACTCCACATTCCCTGGCTCGCTGATCCCCTGGTCCTGCGAGTCGTGGCTGTTCTCGTGGCTGCGGTTGGCCCCGTCCTCAAAATGCCATAGCAGCGGCCCGACGTTGATCCAGAGCCCGTTCGGCTTCAGGCAGTGATGAATTGTTTCGATATACCGGATCAGGTTCGGGGCGGTATCAATAAAGAAGACCGTCGCCACCGCATCGAATGCCTCTCGGTTATCAGGCTGGCGGTAGAGCACCACAAAGTCCGCCGCCGACATGCTCATCTGGCCGAAAGGAGGGCCCTCTGGGTTCTCCTGCGCTTCTGCCATCACAGTGCCCGGATGTCGGTCGGGAATCATCACTGTCTGGAGCTGTTGCTCCCGCGACAGCAGATTCGAGAAGTGCAGGGCAAAGGGGTAGAGCGTGTGCTTCTGAGGACCGAGGGTGTGGTTGAGGACCCAGCTGCTGGCCAAAAGCTGATGATAGGAGATCTCGTTGCCCTCGGGTGAGAAGCCTGCCCGAGCGATGTCAAAGACCAGGCGACCCAGGCCAGCTCCCGGGACCAGCACCCTGATTTCCTGGCCCGCAGCGGTGCGCGCACCAAACTCGGTGCGCAAGTCCTGGAGGACCGGGTCATAGCAGATTTCTCTCTCGGCGCGCCCTTCGGCGCTCCAGTCGCGGTAGAACTGCCTCAAAGTCGAATGGGCCTTGTTGACATCAGAGGTGTTGGCCGTTCCGTGCCAATTCTCCCGGAGGTCCTCCGGGTTCGGGTCGAGCGACAAGCCAAAGGACGATAGGCCCGTGGCGAGAATCGCGTCCGCAATCTCCGCATTCATGTCGATAGCATCGTCTACCCGGTTGAAGTGCTCCAGAATCGAGAAGGGCGGCTCGGCAAGCATCTGCCAATGCGCCGAGGGCAGCGCGTAGAATGCTTGTCGCCGCCGATGCGTTGTATTCATATGCGCCGTTCTCCGATATTGTCTGCCATGGTCAGCAGATTCTCAAGTATTCAAAGCCATCATGGTGATGCGAAGCATGGATTATTGGAGAAATGGCGACCTTCCCCTCACTGTAGGACTAGCGTAGCGTAGAGCAAGAACCCAGTAACCATGGCTACATACAACCACGAACGATAAGATAGGACGGTGACACCAGAAGCTCCAGAAGCTGTACCACACAGACCATCCGCACGCACCTGAAGGAATCCAATGCAGCAAAAAGCACCCGCCGCTCATCGGCGTCGGCCAACGGGTCGAAGTCCCCGGCCCAGCTTCGCACATCTTCCGAGTCATCGTGGGGTTCCGATTTGACGGAGTGGGTGATATCGTGTGACATGTTGAGATAAGACGATCGCTCCAGACATTCGAACCGGGAGGAAAGAACAACAAATGATCCCAGGCAGCGATAACACCAAGAACCAGGAAATTTAGCTCCAAGCAGAAACTCGCGTGCGAGAAAAATGACAAGCGATGATGAGACTCCAAAGCCGGAAGATGGAATTCGAGGGCCGCCCGCCGCGGAGAGACCCGCTTTCTTTTTCTTTTTCTTTTTCTTTTTTGTTTTTGGCGGGGAAAATGAGATTCCCCAGTCCAGAAGCGGAACGAGACTTCGCCCACTGGCAGTCCTTCCAGCCCATCTTCAATCTTTCTATACTTCGGGCCAGCAAAACAAACAGCTCTTTTCGGCTCATTCACAAGCAACCGGTTTATCGGCTTAGCAGATCTTGTAAACACTCAGGGCCTTTGATTCCTGGACCCAGGGAAATGGCGACAGCAGCAGAGCCCATCCCACCCCGCCTCCACCCGCAGGAGATCTCCTTCCCACTGCCCAAGGCTCTTCACACGACAGCACATATTCATCTGACCTTGTTGGACACATGTGCCATGGTATTTCTCGCTACGTCGACCCCGGGCGACTCAGCGGGGACAGTGAAGCCGATGGGGAGTTTGATCTACGCGATGCCTGATGTAAGTGTAGTGGACAATATAGATAGATCTGCGTCATCAAAACAGGTCCCCCATGCTCAGGATGAACCTGAACCCATATGCTTTTTACCCACACCTTGATTGATGGGGTCACTGAATTTTTCCTCACTCATGCACGAATATTATACCTTCGCCCTTGATGCCCTCTATATCACATATATCCATACCGCATATGCCCATGCCCATGCCCATCTACAACACCCAAACGCTAGCTACCTGCAACTAACCAACAAACCCCTAGCTCAAATCCCCCACCACACCCCTCTCAACAACAATCTACTCCACCCCCAACAGCGTGGAATACACCACCCGAGTCGCCAAGATCCTCGCCCGCAGGCTGCGCATCCCCGTCTACGTGGGTAGCAGCTTCGACCCGACCTCGCTGGGGCTTCAGGTCGAGGAGGAGATGGAAGGGCTACGCCAGATCGTGGAGGTGGTGGTGAAGCGGTGGGAGGATGCGAGGCAGTGATGTCTTTCTCTCCACTTTCTCACAAGTACTATCTGGAGTCTGTCTATCAGGCAGTGGAGGAGGGATGAGACCGTTACTGTTCAGCGCGCGAGGGCTTATTTATCCTAGGCCATGGTGTCTAGAATGCGATTTTATGTTGTGTTCTGACGCTGTTTTCTCTCCCTTCTATCTTATCTCCGGGTCCGAGAGTGGTGGCGCGATGGTCGCCGCGGTTGATAGTTTTCAATTTGTGAGGAAGTGGTAGAGACCCTTCCGTGAGGGTTTGCGAGATGCTCCAAGGGTTTATGATATGGAGTGCTTGAGATGATTATAAATATGAGATTGACGCCAGAAGGAAGGAAGAGGAATTGTATTCTGCAACACCCATGCGTGTTACTATTATGATGAGTATTTCGGCATAGCTGGTGATAGGCGTAGAGGACTGCGCAGCTTGAATCACCATGGCACTTAGTATATGTCGCATTCATTTGAGGTTCCTCAATTGAAGGCTAGAGAGCACTAGGCTCTAGGGCGATAGCAGTAGTGAGAGCGATGTAGGCGAAGACCTAACATGTCCTCGAGCTTTGGAAGTCCGATAGCCGTCACCGTACACCCTAAAGATAGTTGACTCGTGAATCGTCAACGGTAATGACCTAACTCATGATAAGACGCAATTGGAAGGTCATATCAAGTCATCTCAGTAGGGTGTTCAAAGCATAGGTGGTAACTATCACACCCGGCTGCAATTCCATAAAAGAAGAGAAAACCCACTAGTCCCAATTCATTTACCTATGTTCGAGACCCCTGTGAAGATTGTCTTTCCCGGACGTCATTACTTTTTGTTTATTTGCCCCAAATCGAATGAAAAGCGCCACCTCCCACCCCTCCCTGTCGGAGAAGCCCTTTGTGCTGCAACGCTCAAACATCGTCAGGTGGATGAACAGCTGCATGCACGAGGCCTAAAGTATACTAACTAAGCAGCTACTGAATACTTCAGCCATTAAGGACAAGGATGATTACTATCCGCCGACTGTATCGGGAAATGTCCACGACTCAGGCAGGTAGGTAACTCCTGATAGGAAGTATTTCCCAATTTGGCAGATACCGGCAGTTTGCCGAGGGGGGCAAAAGCGAGAAGATAATCAGATTGACATCTCAAGCATCTCCTTAAATTGCGGGTCAATATAGGGCGAGATTGTTCCCTCCTCCCAAATTGATCACGACATCTCGAGCCCCCGCCGCTAGGTCAGCTAGACTACTACGGTATAGTCCAGCCCGCGGGTCTAGCCACTGCCCTCATGCCACTGGCAAGTTCGGCCGAGGCTGGCCAACATGCGTGGAAGCGCGCCGGTTGGATCGGGCGAAGCAGTCCATCCCGCAGGCATGGCCTTGAATCGTGGTAGATCGAATACGAGACTAAGCAAGAGACAATCCTTTGGAGAGGCAGAGGCAGAGACAGGAAAAGGACAGATAGAGAGAGCGAGAAGAGGCGGGAGGAGGAGGAGGAGGAGGAGGAGGAAGAAGAAGAACGGACTTGCAGACTTAGTCTTTGAATTTCCCGACATTGAATCAAAGGCGACACGACAGTTAACCAACTAATGTCAGAGTGTTCAAGCTCGTGTGCTTGCGGCTGAGGTTACTAGGTCGGAACAAATCTTGAATTGTCAGCGGAAAGGATCGGAGAAAATGAGCCGCTAAGCTCAACAATGAGAATTAGTTAGAATTAGTAGCCCTGCAATCTGCAAGTAAGCAAGCACACAGACTGTTAGGATGGATGCAGGATCTAGAAAGTACGGAGTAAGTTACGGAGTACAGTACGCAGAGCGCAATCCGGATGGGGTGGGGTCGCACGGTTCAGTAACCGAAACCTGGGAGGAGAGCAAGCAAGAAACCCGCGACGGTTGTAACAGCCACCAATCTAGGAGTCCGGCTATGGACGGAGTAAATACAGTACACAACTACACATGATGCTCTTTCAACCGGCCGCCAGGCTGTCGGAAGTAAATCCGAGGCCAAGAATCTCAAGTGGCGCTGGCCCGCTGAATCCCGACCAAAGATCCCCGGCGAGAGTAACGAGGCCATCGATTCATTATTACACATAGTCTATCCGTAGTGTAAGTTAGGCTATACAGACCTCCGACCTCGTCATCAGACCTCTCGTCCGATCGGACGTCAGAACTTCATCCTCTCATGTAGGCGTGCGCATTGGCGCGTGTCGACGATGAAAAACACACAAGAAAAGAACCGCTTCAAGATAGTACTGGAAGAGTTAGTTGTTTCGCGAATATTGATAAGGTGAACGTAGTACGAGTAGTTCAGTGTCGGGTTGGGTTGTCTTGGGGCCAAGGCAGAATAGCAGTCTGCATCCTATGTCCCAATCAAAAGCGTCGCTTAGTCCTTGTACACGGCAATTGTCTACGACACCGAGAGACCGCATGCAAAGCTACCACGATCGCACTAGGATGCTTGGCTGGAACCTGCCGCCGCATGGTTGAAGGGCATTGACCACGAAGACCCCTATTCGCGCAACAGATTAATGGCTGACAGGCTCCGACTGCCAGTCGCTACTCTCAGACAGCATGATCAATTCACTGGGGGCCCAGAATCCACATTACGGTGTCATGGTGAGAGGTAAGACTGAAAGGGTGATGTGAGTAGAGTAAAGTACTGAGTACGTACGGAGCTCTGTAGGCTATAAACCCACCGACAAGAAACATGTCTCTGTTCAATTTCAATTCAGCGGGTGTGCAGGTGGGCCAATGGTCCATGCATGGCCCACGTGGATGGTTAGGCTCGACTCTCGAACAATATCCGGCCCGTCAAGCCCACCATTGTTACTCAGTACGTTTTCCGTAGATGTGTCGGCATTCGATCCTCTTCCGTCGTTGTGGGTGGGCAAAGAGGGGCAAAACACGGCACAGAAGGACCAGTCGATTGAGGAAGCGAGGAAGTGAGAAAACGAGAGAGAGAACGAGGGAGGAAGAGGCCAGAGAGAGAGAGAGCGAACGCGAGAAGAAAACCTGCAGAATAGCCATCATGGATCGTGACATAGCTAGACCCTTTAGTTGAGCGCAGCCGCCATTGAGAAGTCGACTGGCCACAACCAATTATTTCACTAGTGCTGTGACGGAACTCACCGAGTTGCGTCCAGGTGGCCTAGCCCCGGTCGAATTGTTGATTTCGATGCATACACACCAGACGACCGGACGAGAGAGTGCATCATGGCTCGTTGGTTGTTGGTCTATTGATTGACTGACTCATGTACGTAAGGAGAGGGACAAAGGAGAAGTAGATGAGGGAGAGAAGGGAAGTAAAAAAAGGTCTGGCCAGCCAAAGCCCTTCAATTGTCCGCTCTGCCGAGAATATCCCTCCCATGTGTCCCTTCCATGTGTTGGCAATGAGGTTTTGTAAGGTTTACAGCCTTACCGCCTGCTCTCTTCAGCCGTTCTGCCGCCCTCTGCACAGACTTCCGCACCTCATCAAAACACTGCTGACTGCGAGGGGACCAATGGTCCCCCCGCTCACCGCTTGTAAGGTAAATAAGTAGTAGTGCTAGTTCGTACGTACAGTACCCTGCTTTTTTTTTTAACATTGCTGTAGTGTTATTACTGGCTTCTTCCATCGTACCCGTCAATAGCTGAACAACTCTAAGACTGGAGTGCATCCGATGAAGTGTCACGGGACGTGCCATATAAAGCGGGACCCTTGAATTATGGATTAGATAAAATAAAAATGCTCCTCGGAGAGAGGCCCAACCAGCTTCCAATTCATATCTTCCGACAACGGTAGTGTAGAGCTAAACTACAAAAGGTATTTTTGCCCGTCGAAGTATCAAGTTACCAGTCACAATATACCTACCTATAACGATGTATGAGTATGAGAGAGAAAGAGAGAGAGAGAGAGGATGTGTGTGAGTGTGTGAGTGAGAGTGACTGAGAAGGGGCCCACAGCAGGAACCAAATCCGACCACCGCCCGCGTTCTAATTCCATGTAGCACGCACCAAATGTCCTGTACATTTTTAAACTTAGGTCCCGTTGTCCCAAAATTCGCAACAAGCCGAAGGCCGACCGGGAAACAGCTTAGACGAGCTTCTGCTATTCACTGTACAGTACTCCGTACATACTCGTACATATCATATGTAGCTAGCAACTCGACGCAGCTTGTTTGACGTTCCGTCCATCCGGCTATTTCCTGTCTGCCTTCCAATAGTTTCCTTTCGTAACTACCAATTTCTGGCCTGTTTCTCCTATGAAAAGCTTAGTCTTTTGCCACTTGTGACTGGCCGGAGTTTGCATCCACCAGAGTTTACTTAGTCCTAACCATATCGTTGTTCAGATCTCGGCTAGAACATCCGGCCGACATGTTACGTTACATGGTACCTTAGACATGCAGTCACTAGTGACTCCTAGTCAGGGAACCACTTCTCGGGCCTAACCTGCCCTAGTCTAGTCTAGTCTTGACCTTGGAGGACTGGTCAAAGGTGACTAAGGTACTCCGACTGGGTTGCGAGTGGGTTGGGTCCTGTTTGTTGTCACCGACCCGATCGCATTGTTCTCGAAAAGGGACAGAACGATTAAACTTAGTAGTAGCCGAGTAGTAGTGCTGTAACTTAAGAGAAAAGCGGGCTGGTCAACCACATCACCGCCCAGTCTCACTCTCTCTTCCGGAGGTCTAGAGTCCACCCAGTGCTTTCGGAACCCAAGGCAATCATGCAACACAACACCGAGTTCTTGGAACGAATCCGATACCCGCGGCAGTGCGGCATCTTTCTGGGAGGGTGTGCTCCCGCATCCACTTCAATGCAGGATGGATGGGCCACTACTGTCAGCAACGGGGGTGGGAGCGACGAATGAACTGGGGTGCGGACTGCGACATGACGACGCTGTCGACTAATGCGTAAGACTGGCGGATGTTGCCCGTCGGCGCGGCAGTTTCATCGAAGCAGGATAGGCTGAGGAGATATTTTCCGCAGCCTTGGTAAATGGTCAATTGTTCTGAACTTGTAAGGAGATGGTAGGTGTACATACGGAGCAAGTCAAGAACTTAATTTACGACTGGAGTCGGTTGCTGCAGCTGCGCAGGACGGTGCAGGCACGCCGCCGCCGCCGCAGCAGACTGATCGGTAAGTTACTCCGTGTGTGACCTGAGATAACCTACAGTAGTAGTAATTGTACACTACCTTACACATCTAGGTAGACAGTAACTACCTAAGTTAGTCGTTTGGGGTTAGTCAGTTGAACCCGAACCCTGAATGGGCAGGGTAGCTGTGACATTCTACTCAGCAGTATTGAGTTTCAAAAGCGTAAGGTTGAGGATGATTTCTGTCATATCAGGAGAGTTACCAGCCGGCCACTAGGAGAGTCTCTTATTTTCCTCCTTCCCCTACACCCCTGCCCCCTGCCCCCATTCATTCTGTTCAGAGGAGAAACAAGAGCTGGGCTAGGCATCAGTTGCATCGAGACGAGGAACAACTTGACTACAAATTGGCAGTTGGCCAAGAGCTTAAGACACACGCAGCAGCCGTGTCCCACCGCCAAGCTGCGAAAAGGGAAGGACCCTGTTTGAGAGAGGCAGAGGACTGCGGTGCTGATCGACAGTCGCCGAAACCCAGAAGGTGAGCGCTGCATTGAGAGGAGAAGAAAAGAGAGACAAAAGTAGGCAATTGACGAAAAAAAAAAAAAAGAAACTGAGAAAAAAGAAAAAGAAAGAAAAAAAAAAACAAAAACAAAAAGGGGGCCCATGCCACCCAAAAGATACTACTGCACACTGCTGGGTCGGCTCCTACGTAGGAGACTTTATTTGGGGAAGGCGGGCTTGGGTGGCTGACTATTAGGCCCGTGGCAGAGTTACCCAAGCGCGCTGTCTCGAGGGATCGATTGGTTCAGGACTCATTGATTGTGGCGTTGACACCTGACTCAAGGGAAAGCACTCACAAGGTGATGAGGGGCGAAGGAGGCCTGGATTCTTTCTCAATGCTCAAAGAGGGAATAAGTTGATTGAACTATCAGGTAGTGAAGGATGATATACTGCTTCGTACAGAGGCAAGGTACAGGATACCCATCCTACGGCCATAGCACAGGCAGTACATACCTTACTATGCGCAGTCGATTATTGCGTTTAAGCACTTTTAGGGACTGCGTGGTGTGTGTACACATTGAACCTAGTACGCACTGCCACCTTGCGAAGAGCATTGGGCACCGAACGACCGATGTGCCGATACCAATCAGCGTGAGCAAACGGCCTGAATTTGCTAACCGATCATTTCAGCGCAAATGACGGTGGGTATTGGGTGGTGGGCAGCCGGAGAATTTTCGCTGCCGTGACTCGGCCTGGCAATGGCGTCCGTGTTTCGCCCGAGAAAACCATCATCATCAGCAGCAGCATCGTCATCAGCATCATTACCACCACCCATCAACACCAATTCCACTGCCAGACATCTTCGTCAGCATCTCAACAGGGCAGTTGGTATTGTATAGTATCAGTACCAGTGGTAATATTGATGATTAATGTGCACAAGCTTGGTCGCAGTGGATCCACGGTTGTTGCCTCGTGCCGTTTACTGGTCTGCCCAATGGGCTTGATCCGGAGCAGTGATTCCGAGTCGATCGTCAGCATATGTTGATGACGACTCTCTTTTTCCCTCTTTCTATTTCCGTCTCTTAATTACAGTCTTCATTTTCAACGCGGGGCATTATATCTGTCCTCAGTGTCTCAAATAGACACATAGGTCGAAAAGAAAAGTATCTCTCTTTCGGTGTCATTCGGTGTAATGGATTGCAACTCTAATTGGAGTTGTTGAAGGGATCAATCGGGTCTCAACCTCAACATCAGGGGAAGCGACACCCGGTATTGGATGGATGTCGGTGAAGAGAACAAGAATAGCAACCAACGATCTTCCCCAACATCCAATCAAACCGTTGCCCCATCGACCTTCTCATTGAAGGTAAAGCGAGTTTGACTTTCCACGTTCCCGTCAAACCGCCAGTCATCATTCCGTACTCCGGAGTCGGTTTCTTGGATCCATGATTTGATGATTCTATTCCAGAGTCCCATTTCCGTGAAGCAGAGGTAAGACATACTGAGTACATTAATGCAAGATCATACGCATATGAATACGTTTATACGTTTGTACCGACAGAGTGGGCAGTCTGGATCGAGTGACCAATTCCACTGCCCCTCTCTTCTCGTCCATCGATCATCAATCAGAGGGCTAACTAGTAAGTTAATTACTTAGGCTAATCATTTGCAACCATCGGCTACGGGATTGATCCGAGGCATTATTCCCTGCTGCTGCTGCTGTTAGTTACGAGCGAGCTTACTCTTCCCCAACGCGATGATCCTGCAGGTCAGCAGTATTGTAGAAACGGCTCGGATTTGAGCACCGTAAATGACATTCTTTGATCTGTACAGTATGTACTTTGTGTTGCGGGTTGTATGTACAAGTATATTCGTACAGTAAGTTTAACTACCTATCAACGTTACTACGACGTATGTAAGCTGGACAGTTAATGGTCAATGGCCAATGGTCCACGGCTGAGCCCAGAAAATTGTTCATCCCATGGCCGGGTCTGGCTCCGTCCCCTCTCTTTCTCTCTCTCTCTTGTCCTCCCCTATCCGAGACCGAGAGACCCTCCCACAGGAAGGAAGGCCCGCCATTCTTCTTTTTGATCCCGCTCCGTGGTGGGACCAGGACCACGTCGCGATCTCAAACCGTCGCCCTGAAGTCGTCAGGACGACACTGCCACTTGCCGATCTCGGGTCGCTTTCCAGCTAGCTAGAGGTCTGATCCTCAGCCAAAACTACTAAACATAAAATGGAAGAAAAAAAAAAAAAAAAAAAAACATCAAGCCTCTGCGCTCCCGGAAGTTGGTACCGACCCTCGTCTGCCCACTTCTCATGACTACAACCATCCACCAGACCATCTCTATCTCTACATCAAAGCGGCTGGCAATTCTTTGCATGATCTTCAAGATAAAAGGAAGAGGGATTCCGATCGATGCTCTTCTCTCATTCATCAACCGCAAACAGTCGATCGATCCAG